AATCAATCAGTATATTAACCTGTAGGTATATAATAAGAATCAATCAGTATATTAACCTGTAGGTATATAATAAGAATCAATCAGTATATTAACCTGAAGGTATATAATAAGAATCAATCAGCATATTAACCTGTAGGTATATAATACAAGTCAATCAGTATATTAACCTGTAGGTATTTAATAAGAATCAATCAGTATATTAACCTGTAGGTTTATAATAAGAATCAATCAGTATATTAACCTGTAGGTATATAATACAAGTCAATCAGTATATTAACCTGTACATATATAATAAGTAAGAGTCAATCAATATATCAACCTGTAGGTATATAATAAGAGTCAATCAGTATATCAACCTGTAGGTATATAATACAAGTCAATCAGTATATTAACCTGTACGTATATAATAAGAATCAATCAACTACTGGTATATTAACCTGTAGGTATATAATAAGAGTCAATCAGTATATTAACCTGTAGATATATAATACAAGTCAATCAGTATATTAACCTGTAGGTATATAATAAGTAAGAGTCAATCAATATATCAACCTGTAGGTATATAATAAGAGTCAATCAGTATATTAACCTGTAGGTATATAATAAGAGTCAATCAGTATATTAACCTGTAGGTATATAATAAGTAAGAGTCAATCAATATATCAACCTGTAGGTATATAATAAGAGTCAATCAATATATTAACCTGTAGGTATATAATAAGAGTCAATCAGTATATTAACCTGTAGGTATATAATAAGAGTCAATCAGTATATTAACCTGTACGTATATAATAAGTAAGAGTCAATCAATATATTAACCTGTAGGTATATAATAAGAGTCAATCAGTATATTAACCTGTAGGTATATATAATTTGGGCTCGGAACCCTAGCAAAGTCTTGGTCCTTACCAAAATCCTACACCCACTGGTACGATTCCATATGCCACATATTATACTGCACATATGACTAAAACTATTAATCATCTGAGGACAAAAAGTCAAAATCATTAAAATATATTACGAGGTAGAGACAATGATGTGTTCATTTAGTTTTATGTATGCAATAGCCATACTATTGGGTTATAAATGCAGCCAATTATGAGATATAAATTTATGATCTTCATAATATCTTCCTCTTGGTGTCCAGTATAACAATTTTTACAATGCAAAAGTAAAACTCAGTGCAATGACTGGTTGAAATTTTCTAAGCTAATGGAGGGTTTGTTATCTATATATAGCAAAACTGGAAGAGAGAAAAAACATTATCTGTATCATTTCATGTTGTCTTTAATTATCTAAGGATCAAATTTGAGGCTGGCATGGATACATATTATAACAGGGACTGATCAACATTAATATTTTGAAATACTGAACTGTCATTTGCATTAGACTATATTAAGCTAACAGCGTCATATTTTCTTTTTATCTTTTAAAGTTATATGTGAATTTGACAAATGGTTCGATTTGAATATGACCTGGTTTAAAAATCAAATGTGAGATCCAGTTGTTTCGATTTTGCTGGCCAGCTTTACACGGTCTGTCACCTGGAACGCTTGATATCACATGCAGCAGCCGTGCTTGAATCATATCTATAGGACATGTACATATTGACATGACCTTGAGACTCATTTTTATCATATTTTTTTAGTTTTTACGATTTTCTTCCTTAGAATCATTCAACAATGGAATGGGTCAATCAAGCTGAACACAAGTTTGGAAACACTCAAACTTAATTATCTAATTCTTGTAAAGATTTTGTTTAGAAAAGTTACAAATACTGACTCAGGAATTGAGTAAAGGATATATGCATGTTACTGTATTAAAAATTGGGAATTTTTCTTCTCCATGTTATTTGATCATTTTTGATTCTTAAAGTAGATGGCAAATCATATGGACGTATTGGTTCGTAATGCTACAGACTAAAACTTGATTTGGTGATAATGTAATACACCTTTCACTGCAGTGTCTACACAAAAAAATCATGCATCTAAACAAACTAATTGTGCTAAAAATGTGTCATATTTTTTCACAGTACACTCTCACTACAGGGAAACTGTTGGTGAAGATAAACGTTTAGATTGATCCAAGAAGACTACTACCTACATATATATAAGCTTGGCTGATGGGAAAACTTCAAAAGTATTTTTATTATGTTTTCTGTTGATTTCATATTTTAGCTAACATATTTTGATCAGCATAACTGATAGGAGATCAAATAAGAAAACATTTACATAAATAAGGACATTTTATTAGAGTTATACAGCTCGAGGCTGATCTGAACGCTGAAGGCACCAGTTTGGATTTTGCATATACAAAGATACATGTATTCACATTATAATTACTATATATATCCAAACCATTTTAACCCAATATGCAAACAAGTGCTATCAAAGTTCAGATCAGCCTTGTTAACTCATTCACCCCTACATATTTAAACTGGACTTGCCCAGTTGATGACTTGGAAAGGTTCAAATGTGACTTTAGGGGTGAATGGGTTAACTTTGATCATGAACACAACCATTCAGATCTTACTAGGGCAGTAGTTGTTAAGCCTAACTTCAGAACGACAGCTAGACGATTCTGTTGTCATCTTTACTACATACATGTATTTGAGTAAAATTCAGTGACTTTACATGTTTTTTTTTGCCTTTTTCTTCATTTATCTCGCAGACATGAAATATTAAAGTGTTTACTTTTCACAACTCAACAAATGATGATATTAACAAACTAGCATACTTGCCGACCCTCCCTATTTAGGAGGGAGACTCCCGAATTTGGACCCTTAAATATAGTGTTTTCCAAGAGTGAATTTGTTTAACAGTTCCTATATTCTAAGGTGTAATGATTACATCTAAAAGAACAACTCAAAATATGTCATTTATAGGGTTATTTTGTCTTGAAGGGGGGGGGGGGGGGGGGGGGGTATACACACATTTTACTTATGTTTTAATTTTGAGCTTGCAGAATCTCCCCATGGAAATTTCAAAAAGTTGGCAAGTATGAACTTGCAGTACATTGTAGTGCACATTGCACTGAAACAAGCACAGCACAGGAAAGGGTCTCCTCGAGTACGATGCACTTAACTGCATTTATACACTGTGTGCACTAATATTCACAAACACTGTGCAATATAAGAACTATTTTGATATATCCTGGACACGATTGGCCACATCCGACCCTTCACGATACAGTACAGTACTTAACCACCACGTCAATCAGTTTGATAACACAGGGACCTGAGAATCTGTTACAGAGCTCTATATTTGGACCTAAACTAGGCCTAAGGTGTTCAGAGTATTTTTTATATGAACTTATGTTTAGATAGATAAACATTGGTAGAGTCATTTTTAACGAAAGTCGATCTAAAGCCCTAAAATATGTAAAATTATCAAGTTCCTGACTGTGGTTGATAACAAACCCGAAGAGAGGGGGAATTAAACATCAAATTACCTATCATGTTGTGTCAGTCAGTCGGCTACGTGGAGAAGTCACGGTTTTGACATGTACATATTGTCCGAGTAATTAGCTGTTGACCAGTACAAATTTTCCTAGTTTGGCGAGTGTATTTAAAGTTGTTGTATGCTGACAATGTCCAAACAGTGATGTCACTGATGGAATTTTCTCGCCTAACACTAGTACTGTTAAAGCTGCGTTAGCCTAGGTAGTGACTCATAATACACTGTAAACAACTTCCCAAACCAATTAATATGTGGCTCCATTAACGTGTAATATACTTACCCAGCATCCGAAATTGAAAAAGAATAATAGATATTTCACAAGTGCGCTCACAAACGTATCTTCTTGGCTACAACAAGCCATATTAAAGGTGAGCTTCTGTCAGCTTTCAAAAGATGACAGTATCCATCAACGGTGTTGCATCGCTTTTCACCCCGGAACTATTTGTTCATTGGATGCAAATCGCACCGGAAGTAGCAACATTTATAAGCATCTTTAAAGATGCTTGCTACATGATATATATATTTCTTTCAATGACGATGATAACCAGATGATATGCTCCGTACAATTGCTGTAGAGCTTGATATTGGGGAAATGTTTGATGAAGGAATGAAAAATATCAGTTTGTCTTGTTTTATTTGTGGATCTAAAGTCTGCGTTTGGTCGTCGGTTTCGGAGCGTTATTCATTTCGGTTGTAATTAAGATATGATAACGAGACCTGAGTGACCAAGGACGATGATGTTTATGTAGACGTGTGCACATAGTCTGTATACAGACAAAAAAAAATGGAAATCCGTCAGGAGAGTGAAAAAACATGTTACTGTATATATATACCTAACATCAGAGACGTATAATGTATTATACGTCTCTGTATTATACGTCTCTGCTAACATGTGTATTAGAAAATAGATATGTAACAGGGATATATATATCTTTATTGTGTGTAAGTCTTTGAATGGATTTATGAAAGATCTTGGTGTAAGGAACCTTAAATGGTTGTTTGGTAGTATTGTTGTGTTATGAAATAATGTTATGCAAGGACCCTTAATGTTTGCGTGTTACCTGTATGTAAGAATGTGTGGAATGCGAGTACTTTTAGTCACATGACATCAACGGACATTTTTATTGGTCATAGCTAACAACTGCATGATTTTTATCTTGACTAATATCACTCAGCATGGGTGAGTTTTTAACCATATATGTTCCATTATATTCTGTAAGGTATTATCAGAATATTGCTATAATGTTATGTTTAAATTATCATTTCACTACAAATGTATTTAATCATAATATTCTGATTGAATGTAAAGAAATGGATAAAGAGTAAGTTTTCAGTTTTTCCAGATGTATATAATTTCTGTATTCCAAATTATAAAGTGTAGTAATTAGTATTGTTTTATAAGGTATTTATTTATTTCATTTACAGTATTATCTGTTAAACACTTTGTAATGACTGCCAGTCATACGTCGCCTGTTAGACAAAGGAATGTCTGTAAACCCCCGCAGGATCTGTGAGGTAAGTTTGAAATTCATTATTTTATATTTAGAAATATTTTGCATAATAGTATAAGGTAATTCCAGAATATCAATTGTATATTGATATGTAAAAGTGAATTCGGTATTATTGATGTGTACATTGTAAAAATAATATTATATTTTTATATGGAGCTCGAATCAAAAACGTATCTATTCTAATGTGCCAAACAGAACCCAACAGTGTTTAGTGGATTTATACACAAAGATAACACTGTAACAGATATATTATCTCAGGGACAGTAGATACACTATACGTCCCTGATTATCTAAACCAATTAATTAATTATCAATATAATGAACAAAAAATAGGCTATTGTGTTGTATTTTATAAGATTGTGTTGATAATCAAGAACATAGATTAATGAACATGGTGAAACATTTTTCTGTGTGGGCCATCGGGGCGAATTTCTTTTTGGAGAATTCGAGTTGTCTTTCTTTGAACCCTGGAATCGCTGCTCCGAACCAATTTCAGTTTATAGATTTTCGTTATCATTTCAACAGATTCAACCGAAATTGCGATAATGTTTTATTTTGGTTATTTTTGTATTTGTTTTATTTTCAGATATTTTTTATACAATGAAAAGTACTTTTGTAATAGCTGAAAATCTCACACTACTCTAGCTTCCACTTTCACACAAACAAATATTGATTGTCATTTTAATACATTTTTCAAATGTTTACATTTACATTGCATGTCAGGCAATCAGTAGTAAATATCTATACATCTATATGTATGACTAGCAAAGGAAAACAGGAGGGAGTAAAGAGCATGTGTTGTCAGCTGCAAATGTTATTTATATATATATAGTAAAAGCTGAAACAAATATGTTGATGTCTTATGGATAGGAAAAGTGGATACAAAACAACTCATATACTTGTAGTCTAGTTGATTATGTAATTACTTCACCTGAATTATTCTCATCTATTGTTGACTTCTATGTTGACTTGCCAAATGTTTACAGTGATCATATGGCCGTATATTTTGAAATGAAGGCGTCTATGGTAACCTGTGGTTTTAACAGTAATACTTCGAATGAAATGTTGTCAATTAAATATAAATGGAATCCTGCACTTAAAGATGTGTTTTTGCAAAATTTACAGAAAGATGATTGTATGTTGAATTTCCTAGAAGTTAACCGGTTATTGAATGCAACGGAAATTAGTAATACAGATTTAAACACTGCTGTAAATATTTTTAATGAAGGTCTATGTAAAGCGGCAACACCTATTATGTCGCATACTATTTCGTCGCCTGGGGCGTATAAAACGCGTGGAAATTCCCGCAATATTCCTTGGTACAGTGATGCGTGTGAGCAAAAAAGGTATGATTTTTTACAATTGTTAAATATTTTTAGAGAAAATAATTCTGATGAGAATAGAAGAAATATGGTCCAAAAAAGAAACGAATTTAAATATGAAGCAAGGAAATGTCGAATGTCATACGACAGAGAAAATACACGAAAGTTACTACAGGCTAAGGAAAACAACGCACGAGAATATTGGCGTTTATTAAAATTATCTTGTTCAAATCAACCGAAATCACATATTAATGCTGATGATTTTGTCGATTTTTTTTCGTCTGTCACAAATCCAGATGATTCATTTTTTGAGCCTGAAACTGAGGTTGTAAATTTTGTTGAAAGATATGTGAAGGGTGAAATACAGGTCATGTTTGAAGAGCTGAATTATGATATTGAACGAGAAGAAATAATGAAAGCAGTCGCTCAGCTAAAAACAGGTAAAAGCGCTGGGCCTGATTTATTAATTAATGAATTTTTAATGTATGGTGTTGATGTATTGTTACCATACATGCTGTTATTGTTTAATTCCGTTTTTAAGAAAGGATTATTTCCAGATGCATGGACGGAGGGTTATATTATTCCTTTACATAAAAAGGGATCACTGTCAGATGTATCAAATTATAGGGGAATAACTTTATTGAGTGTAGTTGGGAAATTATTTACGAGGGTTTTGAATAATAGGCTTAATTTTTGGGCCGAGAAATATAAGGTTTACGTTGACGCACAGGCTGGATTTAGGACGGGTCACAGTACCATAGATAATATCTTTATTTTAAATGGAGTTATCTCCCATCTTTTTCATTTAAAAAAGAGTCTACATTGTGCATTTATTGATTTCTCAAAAGCCTTTGATTATGTTGTAAGGGACAATTTGTGGCTTAAACTAATAAAAGTTGGCGTAAGGGGTAAAATGCTTGATATAATTAAAGCTATGTATAGTTCTATCAAATCAAGGGTAAAAGTAAATAATGAAATTTCAGAAAGTTTTCAATGCATAACTGGGGTTCGTCAAGGTGAAAGTCTGTCTCCCTTTTTATTTGCTATGTATATAAATGATTTAGAAAATGAATTTATATTGAATGGTTTTGACGGTATAACAATTGATTATTTAAAACTCTATTTAGTTCTATACGCGGATGATATCACAATTTTTTCCGAGTCTGCTATACAGTTACAACACGGATTAGACATTCTGAAAGTGTATTGTAACACATGGAAATTAAAACTGAATGTAAATAAAACTAAGGTTATGATATTTAGAAAAGGCGGACGGGTCGCAAGCGACGTTAGATTTTATTATGACGGCGGAGAAATAGAGATAGTGAATAGGTTTTCGTTTTTGGGCATTGTTTTTACATCGGGGGGTTCATTTTATGAGGCTCAGAAAACTCTGGCTGGCCAAGCTACTAAATCTATATTCAAAATGGAAAAATATTTACAACGTTTTGTTAATTTATCGCCCAAACATATATGTGATTTATTTGATAAATTGGTAATGCCCGTGCTTTGCTACGGTAGTGAGGTATGGGGCTTCCATTCGGCTGGGGATATTGAACGTGTACACCTTAAGTTTTGTAAAAGATTATTATATGTAAAGACTACAACACAAAATAACTTTGTTTATGGTGAGCTAGGTCGTTTTCCATTAAGAATAACAAGATATTGCAGAATAATAAAATATTGGCTAAGGATAGTATGCGATTCAACAAGCGATCTTGTTAGATCAGTATATAACATCTTGTATCAGGACGCTGAACAGTTTTCTAAACAAAATTGGGCTAGTGCGGTAAAAGAACTTCTTTTTACGAATGGTTTTGGATATGTTTGGTACATGCAGTCTGTAGGTAGTATAGAAGCCTTTATGCATTTATTTAAAATTAGAATTAAAGACATTTTTGTTCAAAATTGGCAGAGGGAATTATCTGGCTCTACTAGAGCAAGATTTTATGTTAATCTTTCTAATAACTTCGAATATAAACTATATCTCGACCTTGTCAACATAAAAAAGTTTCGTATAGCGTTAACAAAATTTAGAGTCTCTTCTCATCGTTTGAGTGTTGAGGTAGGCCGTTGGCACAGACCGAACCCTATTCCATATGCGAATCGTACATGTAGTTGTTGTGGGGTTCTAGAGGACGAGTATCATTTCCTTATGGAGTGTACCTTATATTCTAACATAAGACACATGTATATCAAGAGAAGGTATTTTCATCACCCAAATAGACCAAAGTTCCTGGAATTAATATCGACTACGAGCAAGAGTACATTGAAAAATATTGCCGCTTTCATTTTTAAAGCGAATGAGATACGGAACATTAACTTATTTAATCAGGAGTAACGTCCGCCCTGATGTCGTGAAACCTGCATTTAAGTATGGAAAGTCACTGTTTTACTTTATAATATATTTATGTAATTTAATGCATTGTACCACTACATATATCCTTGTATATGCAATGTATTTATGGCACAAAGACATTTGTGTCTATTGCTGAATAAAGATTATATACTAGTGTCCAATAATATTACATATTATAACTGTAAACAGTATTCTTAAAATAAAGTTCAGCAAATTGAAGATTCAGGAGATATTAATT